ATTCTTTAGGAATATTGATTGTGCTTTGACTAGAAATTACTTAATAGAAATTTGTTAGGTGAATTCATTAATTTATTATCTTCAATTCAAAATTATTAAATATCCACAACTGGTTTTTCCGACAAAAACATTTGTATTTATTGAGAATAAACAAAATCACGATACAAAAATCCGTCAACTAAATATCGATTAACATGAGAAAAGTTTGTTTAGTTTAATTTTAATGCCCATAGAATCTTTGCATTGATTTATGACATATATATCCACAATTAGCTTTCTTAAAAAACTGTACATGTTTCAACCAAGATAATTATCTTACCGAAAAGAAAATTTAAATTATTTTTTGCTATTTTATTATTTCTTGTAAAAAAAAAATTTCATTGACTAATAATTTCCAAATGTAGTTTTTTCTTTTTCGACTGGTCAACAAAAATGTAGTATATAACTATGACATTACAACATAAGAAATTATATTTAATATCTCAGATTCTCTGTTTACAAATACTATTAATTTAAATTTCTTAATTACACAAAAAAACATGATGTTTTACGGTTACTATAACAATTATCTTTAGAAAACGTTGTGCACAATTTGTAAGGTATGTCATTTTGTCGAGAAAGTGATGGATTGAATCCCCTTTGCAATTTTTCTATTAGAAACTTCCACCCAAAACTAGTTTTTAAAAATGTTAAATATATCCTCAATTTTATATACAGGTATAGGGTGCATAGTTATATTATAAATTTATTGTGTTTTTGAAAAAGATTTTTTTTTTTTTGCGTTTAAAAGTAGATTTGTAAAGAAAAAGGTTGGAGAATTTTTTGCAAAGAAAACCTTTTCGTAAATAAAACAAGTTGTTGATATATTAGTATTTTTTTGTATTGAGGATACGAAGATGCATTGTTCCTTGTTTTACGTTATTTGTAAGAAATAAAGAAAATCATGTCTATTAAAATTTCATCAAGGGCTTTTGATACACAATCAAGATCCTGTTAAGGAGAGAACACAAAAAGATGCTATCAAGCCAGAGACTGATTTTAAAGCGTGTGATCGTGTTAGGTTAGAACTTGGTCTTTTCATTAGTTGTTTTGGGGTTTTTATTATTTTATTGTAAACTTATGACATTTTATGGATTTTTATTTTTTCATTGTTGCAAAAATTTCTGAACAGGGTATCACTGCATCCAGAGAGTTTCTGAGCAATCTTGGTCTATTGCTTGCCAACGATTTTGTGAGTTTCCATCAAAATCTGGTATTCTTCTTCACTATATAAGCATCTTTATGCATTTATACTTTTGTTATTTATTAGTAAATCGTTCATTTATGTATATATCTATGAGAATTTTGATTCATATTAAGATCTCAAAGCAAAGTAAAATTGATTAAATTTAGTAGCAATTTTTTTTCTTAATTGTTTTGAAGTTAGGTATGAAAATAAAACCACAAAGTTCATAAACACCATGCACATTCTGATATCTGACAACGAGTATACAAAACCTTATTCTTTAAACAAGTTGCATTCCATGTATTATATGTGGGGTTTAGAGAATACTGTGATTAAATATTCTGATCACAGATTAATCTAATATATAAATATATCCCACGTATGTAACATGGACATATATATATCCGAGTAAATATTGATGCAAACTCTATCTTTATAAAAACGCACACATACACGTGACAATACACATATATATATATACGAAAATACTAACGATCGAAAGAAATGACATTTCTTCGTTCCATTTTGCTTTATCCAATCCATTAACTTCTTATATAAAAATTTTGTATAGATGTCCCAAATACATAAAGATCTTATAAAAATTTCAACACAATTTTT